GAAGCCCCTGAAGCAAATTCCAGGAGAACCTGGAAGGCTAAGTACATCCCAGACACTGAATTTTGTCTAATTTGCTTTGTAAATTATATTATGATCTCATGTATTCCTGTGTGCTTCCTCTTTTCCTGCTGCTTTCACAATTTCCAGGGTAAATCTTTTCCATCAAGTCTTGTCTTCTCAAGATGTGCCGTACTATGGTAGCTTCAGTCTCATCATTTTTGCTCCTAGAGAAAATTTAGGCTTGATTTGATCTAGCATACACTTGTTCACCTTTCTGGTGATCCATCAAACGTTTGTCTGACATCACATGTCAAAAGAATTGATTTTTCTGTTATCTCTCTTCACTGGCCAGCTTTTTACCTTTACCTAAAGAAGGCAAGATTCACTGGAAAAGAGAAAAATGCTGGGAAAAGTTGAAGGCAGCAGGAAAAGAGGAAGACCAAATATGAGATGGATTGATTCCCTAAAGGAAGACACAAGCTTGAGTTTAGAAGAGCTGAGCACGGCTGCATTTGGGAGATCACTCATTCATAGGGTTGCCATAGGTTGGACATGACATGGGTGCATTTAACAAAAAACAACAACAATGATGCACTCAAGGTATTTTTCAGATTAAGACAGCATCTTACAAAATCATGCTGCACAATTTGAAAGACATGATACAAAGGAAACAAGAAGAGGCAACAAAATGGGAGGGGGGATTGGAAATGCATTAATCTGCAGAACAGCTCATAATGATAATGAAGAATTATTTTCAATAAATCTGGTGACAAGGCAGACTCACAAGCAAAATGCACAGATAGGTTGTAATCATATGTGCTATGAGCCAAAATCACACTGGCATTTCACCGCTAGCTTTGTCCTGTCGCCTGGAAAAATTCCCAGAGAGCCACAGAACTGGGCTGATTCTTCATGTTAAAGCTGATGATCACTGTTGTTCACTCAGGCTGCTTAATGCTTCTTTTCCTCCTTTTTGCCATTGCCCATCAAGTGTAAAATTCCACTACCCTCCCCCTCCACCTAAGACTGAATGATCACACACAAGAAGTGACAACTTAAGCACTTCTCTGCTGTGAGCATGTACTTGCAAGTAAGACCGCACATACTGTATTTTTACTTCCATGCCCCAAAAAATGCTTAGGAGAGCAAACAGAAGTGCGGCTGTCATGTGCCACAGCTCCTTGTCACAGCTCAATGGAAAGTTACAGAATTCCAGAGAAACTTGGCTTAAAATAACTCACCCACAGGAAGTCACTCTTGTGAGGCAATGGTACGGGGCTGCAATTGTTATGTTGTGACTGTTCATGTGAACATGTTTGCACATAGGGGAAAGGTTTCCCTTGACATTTAGTCCAGTTATGTCCGACTCTATGCGGCAGTGCTCATCTCCGTTTCCAACCCATAGATTCTGCGTTTGTCCAAAGACAATCTTCCGTGATCACGTGGCCAGCACGACTAGACACGGAACGCCGTTACCTGCCCACTGAGGTGGTAGCTATTTATCTACTCGCCTTTTTGCATTTTGTATGCTTTCAAACAGCTAGGTTGGCAGGAGCTGGCACCAGTGACGGGAGCTCACTGCGTTGCGTGGATTCGATCTTAAGACGGCTGTTCTTCTGACCCTGCAGCACAGAGGCTTCTGCGGTTTAACCCGCAGCGCCACCACGTCCCTTGAATATGATTGCACATAGCAGACAATAAATTAGACATGGGACTTCAGACCTTGGAAAAAATTATAATAATATAATAATCTTAGAACTGCAGAGTTGGAAGGGATCCTGTGGATCATCAGGTCCCTGTCAAGGAGGCACAATGGGGAATCAAACTCCCAAGTTGGCTAGTGACCAAGCAGGCTGGGAGATTCTGGGACGCATCATCCCAAAATGCAACTTTCCCAAGCTTTGAGCATCACTCCCCATTTCTTTGCCTGATCTACACTCAAAGAGAGGCTCAGAATTCATGACGAGCGGAAATATCCACCCAAAACAGTCCCAAGAAAGCATCCTCACATCCCTTTAAGGTGGCCTTACCTCTCCATCTCAAGCCACTTCCTCCCCTCCTTGGTCTGGAAATCCCATGTCTCAACAGTTACAACACACACACACACACACCGCAACCCATTTACCGTAGGCTTTGCAAATACAGTAAAATGAAATAAAAGAGAACGGAAAAAAACAAAATAGGATAAAGTGATGAAGCCAGGATTCAAACAAACAAAAGTACTACACAGATCTCAATCAGTGAGTCAAGCTAAAATCTGCATGCAATTAATTTAAGAGACGTTTAAGAAATTATCAAGATACACGCGTCCCTTTTCCACACTGGGAAGCAACCAGAACTGTAGAGCAAGGGCCGTTTTGCAAACTCAGGAGGAACTTTTTTGAGGACGGAGGTCACTGGCAATAGCCGGTTCTACCTGTCAAGCCACACCGGTCTCAGTCTCCACACACCCCTCTCCTAAGCGATGGTTTTTTCCGCCGCCTTGGATACGGGTGACTCAATGGAGCAAACCATAACGTGCGAGGGGGGGAATACAAGAAAGAAAGATAAAAACACCCGCTTGCCCACCCGCCCCAGGAACTACCTCCACTACCCCACAGAATCCCTTCTCTATCCTACCATCCATTATCGGCCCGCGCTCATTCATACAACCCTCCCTGCACCCTTTATGCGAAGAACGATACCTAATTCTTCCCTTCCCGGCGTCTCCATTTTTTTGTCTCTCTATGGTTCCCTCCGCTTCGCCTTCCGCCAATGTGGAGCCTGAGCTCGGCAAGGAGCAACTGCGCGTGCGCGCCGGCCGCCTTCGTCTCCGCCTCGCTTTCCTCCGTTATGCCCGGGGAATCCTGTACCATAGAGATGCAAAGGATTGCTAGATAGGGCGGAAGAGGGACTCATACCTATGTTGGGGATGGAGTTCTTTATTGTGCCCTAGGCTGGGGGATTATTTGAAGATCTTTTAAGATAAACTACTACGGAGTTAGTATTATCGCACAAGAGAAAGCTAGGTTCTTTCTCTGTATGTGTTTCTCATATCAAAACTCTTTAACCTCAGGAATCCTAAGCGGATTCTGTGTTGCACATTGTAAAATGTTTTCTGTCTACTGTCTTGCACACTGTAAAATGAAGCTAAAATATAAATATGTTACATTTTCCAGCAATTCTCTCCCTGGGAGCTTTACAGGATAGGTAAATATAACAATCAAAGCAAATTCCAGGCTGTTATCTCTAATATTTACTGCAAAAAAGCAAGCACCGTCGTGGGGCACCTTGAAGATTTAATTAGTTTCATTTGGCATAATCGTTTATGCGCTGCAGCCCGTTTTGCTGCTTTCCTTTGAAAACATTGGTGCGAGGGGGGGGGAGTCATGTTCAAGAATTCTGCCACCAGAATTCAACAAGAATCTGAGAACACGTTTTGCAGAAATTGAGCAGAAAATGAGTGGGAGAGGGTGTTTGCATGCATTCTAAGAAAATAATAAATTTTATGTCTATTAGAGAAATACACTTGGGATAGGAAAGGTGATAGAACTCCTAATTCTAACTAAGTTGGAGATGCCAGAAGCCATGGTAGCCCCTTTCATCTCTAGACAGCCAAGAAACTATTTCTTCTTGAAGCGGTAAGAGAGGTGTGTAAGGAAGCAAGTGTCAAACAACCCTAAGAATGGCAATCTGAGTTTGAAGGAAAATCAGCACAGATCAGAGCAGGTAAAGAACAGTCTAAGAAACCGAGAAGACCATATCTTTTTACTCTTACCCGTGCAAGACCCTTTCATCTCAAGCACGAGTAGCACCACTTGCTTCCAATAGTACAAGGCTGCATCTTTGAATTGTGCAACTGAGATGCACCCTCAGCACCCCATCAATTAGCTGCAGCAACTTATGCAAACAACTCTTATGCAAAGTTTCTGGCCTGTGAGTATTCTTTACAGCCCTGACTTTACCTGACAACAAAGCTGGTCTTGCCATTTTTACAAGCACTGGAGCAGATCTTGAGATTTTCCTCATCTAATAAGGTGCAGCAAAGAACAGAGCAAATTAATTGGTGACCTTTTTTTTTTTGCTTTCTTATTTTTCTTCCACCTGTTCTGAAGCTAGTTGCAGAACAAAGAATGCAATTATTGCAGTTGAGAGAAGGAAACAGATAATCTTCACCATCTATATTGAAACTTTTTTTCTTACAGCTCGAAGTAGCTAGATTTTTGATCAGCAAAAAATTATGTCATCTGTGTAGCTCTTTTGTTTGTTTGAACCCTGTCCTCTTTGAACTCAGCTGTAGCTCTTTGGGGAGGGGGTACATTAACAGTAGTTAACTGTGAGCCATTCCTTTTGCATTACAAAGTATTTTGGGGTGACTATCAAGACTCGTTGTCCTGCTTCTAATGGTGCTGAAAACTGTAACATCTGGTCTGCTGATTTTGATCAACCTAGTTACCTGCAGTTTTTGACCATCCCCATGCTTCTACTTCAAAATTTGTCATTATATCACTGGTTGGAACCCAAAGACCAGAAGCAGATCGAAATTAGTTGGCCTTTTGTGTATGAGAAATCCACAGTGCCCAGAATTTTATAATTCTTCCTTACAGAAAAGATTGTTGTTTAGTCGTTAAGTCGTGTCCGACTCTTTGTGACCCCATGGACCAGAGCATACCAGGCCCTCCAGTCTTCCACTGCCTCCCAGAGTTGGGTCAATTCATGTTGGTAGCTTCGATGACACTGTCCAGCCATCTCATCCACTGTCAACCCCTTCTCCTCTTGCCTTCACACTTTCCCAACATCAGGGTCTTTTCCAGGGAGTCACCTCTTCTCATGAGATGGCCAAAGTATTGGAGCCTCAGCTTCAGAATTTGTCTTTCCAATGAACACTAAGGGCTGATTTCCTTCAAAATGGATAGGTTTGTTCTCCTTGCAGTCCAGGGGACTCTCAAGAGTCTCCTCCAGCACCACAGTTGAAAAGCATCAATTCTTCTGCAGTCAGCCTTCCTTATGGTCCAGCTCTCACTTCCATACATCGCTGCTGGAAAAAGCAGCGGATCCTTTGTCGGCAAGGTGATGTCTCTGCTTTTTCATTGCTTTCCTCCCAAGAAGCAGGCGTCTTTTATTTTCTTGGCTGCTGTCACCATCTGCAGTGATCATGGATCCCAGGAAGGTAAACTATCACTGCCTCCATATGTTACCTTCAACTCATTGTCAAGTGGGCTTGCTGACTCCATTACACTGCCTTCAAAACATCAGTTAGTTCATCTTACATGCAGTATTCTCTTTGCAGCTTAAAATTTACCCTCTGCACATTGTAACCCTATGACATGGAGTCATTGCCACTATTACTGGATAATAATATAGCTCAGAGTAGCAATATTACCCTGTAATTAGAAGCCCAAAACAAAGGCTGTTAATTCCTGATATACTAATGAATCTGTTCACCCCCACTGCTTTAATTCTCACTGGTCTCCAGTGTTTGCTTTTGAATGTCAGTTATATAAAGGCATGTGCAGCATCCCATGTAAGCAAATCATTAACTGAACAAAAGAAGATGCTGACTTCTGTTGTCTTACTTCCAGAATATTTATTCAGTTTCCATCACTTTAGCAATCATTATGGTGCACCGCCTTTTCTGCTCTTTTGCTTCTTTTTTTAAAAAGTGCATCCTTTTATTTTCCTTAAAGCTTTGAGAAATAATGTTGGGAGTGATTCCATATATCTGTGTGAATATATTGAATATATTCCATATATATTCCATATATTTAGAACTGCAATAGTAATCGGGATTTGTCTGATACTTATAACTAAATTCAGCTCTGGACTGTTAAAAAAAAACAGAAATATGTAGGAAAAGATAATAATATCTTAGAAATGCACCATAAGATGATTCAGTCTTATTTATTACAGTTGTTATATAGAAACAACCTTTCTCACAAGCTTTGGTGTTATTTTCTGGTGTTAAAGCTGACTATCACCATCCAGTGAATGGCAATAAATTACAGGAGTCCTACATAATTTGTGACTCACCAACCCAAATATAAGGGATTAGAGATATCTATCTATCTATCTATCTATCTATCTATCTATCTATCTATCTATCTATCTAATCCCTTATATTTGGGTTGGTGTATTTTGGGGTCTTCTTAGCCAAATGCCACCCACCTACCAACTCGCTTTACAAATCTCACCTTTTTATTGCACTAGTGTGTGTGTGTGTGTGTGTAAGAATGCAGTAGGTTGGGACACTAAATTCCCTTTCTATAACAGCCTCTTTTAGTTGCATGAGATTTTCCTCTCCCTCTGAAGATGACTCAGTAAGGTGGGGTATTACAATATGGAAGGCCACACTTCCCTACCCATCATGTAAAGCGTCATATAATGAACAATAGCTGTGTCCATGTTTCCTTTGTTCACATGTACATGTACACATAGTTCATGCACAGAGTTCAAGGACAGTTGATTTTGGAAGCTAAACAGCAAAGTGGATAATACTTGATGGGAAATTCTAGGGGAATACCAGGCATCTCCCAAAAATATAAATCAGTGCGCTCTGTTTCAATCTGCTTTGAGCAACATTGCTTTGAAGTGACACTGACAGATCTTTACACATAGTAGGCTATCTGTCCATTTCAGATTTCAGAAAAAATATGCTGCTGGTGGGGTGAGTCCTTTAATTAGTCCCACTCCTCTTCTTATTAATTGTTTGGTGATTAGCCATTGGGGGGTAAACATGGACTTAATTTGCCAGTCTGATTGCTCAGACGCACCAAGGGCATCACATTACTGAAGAGAAATTGTGCTATCAACTTCTAATTACAATCTCAGCTCTTTCTTTAAAGATAAGGAGTCATCATGATAGTCTGAAGGCATTGTGTAGCTATCACATCTTTTCCTATTTAACAGATCTTCTGTAGGAAGAAAAAAGATGAAAGAAGCTGTGAAAAACAGAAGGAGAGTTACAAGTAGTGAACTAAGTTGTATGACGAACCCTCATAACACTCAGTGGATGGGTCATCAGGATGACAGCTTGATTAAAGCCTTCTCTTAAACAGTTCTGCAGATTCTCGCAGCTTAATAGCTCTTGATGTTACCGATCAAAAAAAAATTTTTAGTTACTGCATCTTTCTCTCCTTAATTTCTCTGGTTTGAAGGCAAGGGAAAGATAGAAGAAGCAGTGGGAAAAATAATCGAAAGTTACTAATGGATGGTAACAGCCCCACCCGCCATAGAATTTTATCAATGCCTCATTTGGAGGTAACATAAAGCATCAATCCTATATGCACTTACCTGAGGATAAACTCAGGCAGGCTTACTTTTCAGCAGAGTTGTAACTAGGTAGAAGTGATTGGGGCTTTGAACCAGGCTGTTGAAATTTGAAGACTGCAAACAGATGAATCTGCATGCCTTGAATATGTATAAAGCTCCTGGCTGTTCCTCCCCAGAGAGAAGGAAACACAAAACTGGTAGGTTCTACCCTGTTTCTCTGAAAATAAGACCTAATTTGAAAATAAGCCCTAGTATGATTTTTCAGGATGCTTGTAATATAAGCCCTATGCCAAAAATAAGCCCCAGTTAAGTGAAACCCCTCCCTCCAACATTGTGCAGCAACCAGAAGAAGATGATATTACTATTTGGATAAATGTAGATTGTTTTGTTTTTTTTTAATAATTTTTTTAATTACAGTATTATTATATAAATCCATCCATACTTATTTAACATCGTATCCCGAGGGTATAGCTTATAATCATTTGTAAAACAATTACTACAC